GGAGTTTCTTAACCTCCAGGATGACAATCAGCAGTTGAAAAAAATATATCGAGAACAAGAACAGGCTCTGCAAGAACTTGGCAGCAAACTCTGCGAGTAATTCCTCTCTCTTCCTTAACTGCATGCTCACAAGACATGAGTGTACCAGATCAGCTATTCAGAGGGGCTTGAGTATGGGAACACTAAAAAGACTAGATTCTTTAAAAGGATTGAGTAGTTCTGGGAATTTTAGACCTTGGCTCTGAAAGGTTCCAGCAGGTAAAGGCAAAGACAGAAGCAACTGGGTGTTTGTGGGGAGGCAGAGGCAGGCAGATCTCTGAGTTTGAGGCCAACTTGGTCTACAGAGTGAATTCCAGAACAGGCTCCAAAGCTACACAGAGAAACCTTTCTGGGGAATGGGGGTGGAAACAAAACAAAAACAAAAAGAGAATCTAGACGCTTAGTGTTGTCAGCACGTAAGTTTAATTTTTAAAATGTCCAAAGCTTAGCTATTTGAGACTAAGCCAGTTTTATGTGATTTAGAGGTAGTTTTCATGACTTCAGGGTGGAAATCTCAGCATGACTCGTGTGATTTTGTAGTAAAATGTTTCTGGGATTCTATAAGAAGCCAGGAAATTGGCTGTAATACCATCACTTAGGAGGTAGAAGTAGGGAGATCAGGAATTCAAGGTCATCCTCAGCTACAGAGAAGGGCCAGTCTTGAGATCATGCCTTTAAAAAAACATAGAAATAGTCTACCGCCATATCATCCTGAACACGACCAATTTCATCTTTAAAAAAAAAAAAAAAAAAAAAAAAAAAAAAAAAAAAAAAAAACGAAGAAATAGGGGCTGGATAAATGGCTCAGTGGTTAAGTGTACTTGTTGCTCTTGCAGAGGACCTAGGTTAAATTCTCAGCACCACACGGTGGCTCACAACCATCTCTAACTCCAGCTATTGGGAATCCAATGTTTTTTTGACCTTTGGGCATCAGGCATGCACATGGTACACAAACATACATGCAAGCAACACACATATGTAAATTTTTTAAAGACAGAAATGGAAGGAGGGGGAGATATATGAGAGTACCACCATTTCAATGAAGGGGGTACCCGGCCCCCCCTTCATTCTGAGAAAGAATATTGCTCTATTGATGAATTCCTATGTTCAGGTAACTTAGTCTCCCAGGTAGCTGGATTGTATGCCACTATGACCAGCCACTTCAAATGTAATAAACAGTTGCTCTGGTGAGAAAATAGAACATGTTTCAAGCTCAACAGCAGGTAAAAATTACATACCAGGGAACCATTTAGTATGATGTGGCAGATACTTAATAACAAGTAGCCTTAAGCCTTCAGGAGCCAATGTTGAGAGGATCAGGTTATGGAGAACTATGCAGATGATAGTACAGTCCATTGAAATTGCTTACTTTGTCAGCGTAGCCCTCATCTGTAGTCTAGAGTTGAGACCCGTCTGCTACATGAGATTGTCTCAGAAAGCAAAAAAGGAAGCTCAGACAGCAGTACCAAAAAATGTGGGTCAGCATAGGCTACAAAATTTAAGTCCTATTTCAAAAAGAAAAAGAAATCCATGCAAATGTTTGGTTTGGTTTTTGTTTGGTTTTTTGGGTTTTTTTGTTTTATATTTTTGGTTTTTCAAGACAGGGTTTCTCTGTGTAGCTTTGGAGCCTATCCTGGCACTTGCTCTGTAGACCAGACTCTGCCTCTGCCTCCCTCATTCTGGGATTAAAGGCGAGTGCCACCAACACCCAGCCAAATGTTTATTTTCTTAGACATCTCAAGTATTCCAGGCTGTCCTAGAACTCATGTAGCCAAGAATGGCATTGAACTTTGATCTGCTGTGTAACTTCCAAGTTCTAGGATTACCGGTGTCTGCCACCACACCTGGGTTTATATGGCACTGGGATCACACTGAGGGGTTTGTATACAAACTTCCAGAGACACTTGCTCTCACACAGTGAAGTTTCTGGAAAATGGAGTTGTAGAATGTGAAACTATCTCAACAAAAATCAAGTTATGGATGTCTGAAATACTGATTTTTGTTTTAGGACGTTTAGAAAAAAGAATAGGAAAATGCAATATCCTCTTAGCCAGATTGTTAGGATATAAATTGTATGCAATGAAAAAAATCAATGCCTTTCCAATGAAATGTTAGGTGTACTGGATTTATATGCATACTAAAATTTGGACCTGTTTATAATGCTTTTAGATCCAAACTTAAAATAGACGACATAAAAGAAGCCAACAAAGCATTACAGGTGAGTAAAAACATGTCGGTACAGCTGATGGCTCTTTAAGTCGGTAAACCTGAATTGTTTGGAGACTGGGGTATTGAGAAGGTCTTGGTTTGGTCCCAGCACCAGAAGGGTGTATACAAAGTACAGGGTGTGGGTGGTGCTATTCTATTCTGTTACCATCTCCATTTTTTTTTTTCCCCTTTTTCAAGACAGGGTTTCTCTATGTAGCCCTGGCTGTCCTAGAACTAGGAGATCTGCCTGCCTCTACCTCTTGGGGGGCTGCGATTAAAAGCATGCACCACCATTCTTGCTGAAATGTTTTAAAAGGTGGATTGCTTAGTATCTGCTAAGGGATGTATTAATGATCTTGATGAAAAATGACACTGTAGTGCTACTTTAGTAGATAACACATCCTGGATGACCCTTAACTTGCCCTTCTAAAATAGGCTTCTAATGCACACAGGGTTGCTTTGACAGGGCTAGAATGTGGTTTGAAAGAAACCTCTTATGACATAAGATTATCGGATCAGCACTTCAGCATCAGTGAGTGGTGGCTTTCTATTCCAAATGCCCGTGTAAGTTTTTAATCAAAATGTTACATGAAAATAGTTATTCAAAAAGTCCTGGAACCTAGATTATGTAATTGCTGTTAATGCCAGCGAGCACTCTGAACCAACAACAACCAAAGCAAAATAAAATAGACTAGAAGGTGTTGAATTTCTTGGAACTGAGGTTAATTAAAGAAGATTGTGAGCCATGTGGATGCTGGAATTGAACTTGGGTCCTCTGGAAGAACAGCAGCACTCTAAATGGCTGAGCCACTGCCCCAGTCCACACTCTAAAAAGATTTCAAATTGCAAAAAATGACTGCTCTCTTGCCTTTAACCTACTTTAGCTCCTGCTCCTAAAGGGTGCTGCTTCCAGTTCTTGCAGCTATTTCTCTGGCATCTAGCTCTGTATTCAAAGCAACCTGCAAGTCTACTGCTTTCCCCTTTTTGTATTACTGGGAATGAAACTGACAGGGCCTAGTACATGCTAGGCAAACACAGTAGCCATGCTGCAGCATGTTTTCTCACCTTGCCATGGATGTGGTGGTGGGGGACCTGTGTGCTCACCCAAACTCATCTTTTCCTTAAATACCCTCAGTAAACTTTTTCCCTAGACAGGATTCTTACTATAACCCTGACTGGCCTCAAACTCAGGGATCCTCCTGCCTCTTGAGTGCTGGGATTAAAGGCAGTCATCACCACACCCTTAGTATTTCTCCTGATGCCAACTGCCTGACACTTCATTTTTTTATTTTCTGCCGTTTTATTTCAACACCAGAATATTCCCAGTCTTCTATGACAATGACAACATAGTACCTCTATCAAATGTCCCACGTTAGGTGGTTCATTACTTTGTCTGGGCCCCCCACCCACATCTGGCCTAGGCCCTTCTGTCCTTTCTCTGAGATTGCCTGAACGCCTTCTTTCTTGGGTTCCTTTATTTTGAACAGAAGTGGCTCCCTGAAAAATAAGTCATAGGAATTCTGCCTTTTCTGTTTTCGTGTTTTTAAGCTAAGTGCAAGTATTACTGCTTTAAACACTAACATTCATCTTTTCCCGTTAGGGACTGGTCTGGCTAAAAGACAAAGAGGCAACACACTGTAAGCTTTGTGAGAAGGAATTTTCACTCTCCAAAAGAAAGGTAAGAGGGGTGAAATCGAGCCCAAACATTTTGGCAAGAAAAATGGCTTCTAATTCAGTTTTCTATTTTTCTTCCTCATTTTCCCATTGAATAGCACCACTGTAGGAACTGTGGGGAAATTTTCTGTAATGCCTGCTCTGACAACGAGCTGCCTTTGCCTTCTTCACCAAAGCCAGTGCGAGTCTGTGATTCCTGTCATGCAATGCTCATTCAGAGATGCTCCTCTAATGTGCCGTGACACAGGAATGCAATCTTCCTGCACAGAGCACCTGCAGTGAGTGTGAGGACCAGTGTAGAGCCGTCCACACTATACCTCTCCTCCAGCTAACACACAGGATTCTAAGTTGTATAGTTAATACTCTGTTTCTGCACTTACTCAGACTTTAAGATAGCATGTTTTGTCACTACTTGGAACAATCATTGAACCCTTAAGGAAAGTCCGGATAGCAGAACTAATAATGCACTTTTGCCTTACCCTCTAGAGGCCTTCACGAGAACAAGGCCACAGCTTGTTTGTTCTGAACTGTCAAGTTGGCACTTAGTGGTGCCCGTAATTCTCTTAATGCACTTTAAAGCTTCACAATTCTCAGAGGAAGACTGGAAATGCACTCACTTTGTGATAAAATGCTAACAGAACATCCTTTTTGACCATGAACTCATGGACTTCCTTGCCTCAGCTCTGAAGTACTGGGACCATAGGTATGTGCCTCCATACCAGGCCTGTATAGTCTTCATTGTCTGCTAAGATTCTAACTATTGTTTCTTCTGCCCTTTCTACAGTGGAAAGAGCCATTAATTTTATCCCATACCTGCCTACACCTATCATATAGTGGATGAAAGGACCAGCTCTCCCTCTGCACTTAGGGAATGTTAACTATAACCACCATCCTTGTCACAGATGCTAATTTTTGTAAAGGGTTGGACCCCAGAGACACAACAACCTTTCTGAGACGGATGGAGGGAGACCACAGGCTTTTAGATTCTAAACAGTAAAAAAAATAAGAGCATCTAAAACTCTGCCTATGCTATGACTGAATTAGGTTTCTCCACCCCCCCCCCCCCCTCCTTTATTAGAAAACTTCTAGGAAACATTACATTGCAGTAGTGTTTACACCTACCTACAGTAGAATTTCACCCTATGTATCTAGTACCTTTATGCTATGGCCTTAGGCACATAGTGGTTTCTTATTTTCTCAAGCAGAAAAAAACATTAAGTTAATTAAACCAAGACCATTCAGGATCTTAAATTTAAGTCTTGCACTTTTAAATCTATAAACTCTACAGAGATTTTACATTCCTAAAGACAGTTTAGTGATTGAGGATCTTTTTGTTATATTTCAGTAAATTTTACAAATTGCCAAAATTACAAAACCAGTATTTTCACCAGCTTCTGAGGTAAACTTAAATTAGATCTGTCAGATTTTGAGATGCCCCCTTTCTGTAAACAGCTACTCATGTAACCCAAATTGGCCTTTAATTTGGTGTGTAGCAGATGATGACCTTGAACTGGCTCTCTGACCTCTCCCAGCTGCTGAGATTACATCTGTGTGGTGTTTTATGTGGTGCTGGGGTTGGAACCCCTGGCATTGTGCAGGTTGGCCAGGTACTCTACCAATTGAACTCTCCTACCCCCAAAATGTCATTTGTTGAGTACTAACAGAATTAAGATGGTCAGGTAAGAAAGACTGCCATAAATTCAAGGCCAGCTTGGTCCATCCCTAGAATTCGAGATCAGCTACACATACACACAACACTATAAAACCAGTGAAAACCTGGCTCAAAAAGTAGAAAAATAGAAGAATTTATCTCCCATGTTGACATTTATTACATGAGTAACATATCTAGCAATATCATCTTGTATTGATGGGATAGACTAACATTTTTATGACTGTGGAAAGTGAGCATAAATGAAAATTTCAAATATGTGCTTTTTGTCACAAATATGGCCTTTGCTGGGGCAGCATTAACTTGATCCCCACTGTCTAGGATGAGGATATATAGCTCAGTGGTAAAATGTTTGCTTACTATGTATGTGTTAAAGCCCTGGGATCTCAATCCACGAAGTGGATAAAAATCTAAATTTAGGATACCCCATTCATTATAAAACATTCACAACTTTTACTTTGCAAAAATTTCTGTCATTCCCTTACTTACCCTAAGCCAGTACTACCACAAAAATGTAATCATGGTGCCAAGGAATTGTAATTCTAATCTGTAATGTTTTTAAATAAATGTCAATTTTGGAGACATTAACAATTAACTCTTATTGCTTTAAAGATTTGTTTTTATCTGTTTATGTGTCTGTGTGAGTGTATGCCATGTGTGTACAGGTGGCCCAGGAGATCAGAAAAAGGTACTGGATTTACTGGAGCTACAATGAGTTGTGATTTGCTGATGGTGGGTGCTGGGAACCAAACTCAGGTTCTCTGAATGAGCAGCAGGTGTTCTTAACTACTGAATCATCTCTCCAGCCACCTCCTTTGAAAGTTAAGAAGGTAACTCTTGAAGAGCTTTTGATCTCTGCCAGTCACACAGAATAGCTCATTAGTGTGTAGGCTCTAAGTGAAGCCCTCAGTCCCAAACTAGAAAGATAAACTCACTGTTTCAGGACTATGGGCCCCAAGTATCAAGCTGTGGTACTTGTTTACTTTATCAGAAATCTCAATCTGGCATCCAGCCGTACTTGCCTCTACCTCCCTCCCAAATGCTGGGATTAAAAGCACCACACTTTCTACCAATGTGTATTATATAACCAATAACTGACAAACAGCATTCTAGGACAGACAACATCCTTTATCTCCCATGTTGATATTTATTACATGAATAACATTTCTAGCAAAAACAAGTTCAATAACGGAGTTCACATTGACAGGTTTCAATTTGATCCATTAGCCAATTTGGGGAAAAGCCACATTGATCGAAGCACCTTGTCCGTGCTACACAAAGAGTAACTACTCAATGCCAGTATCAGATGCAAAATTCAGCTGCAGCACTGTTACACATTTTCCTAAATGTAGTCATTTACACAATTAAAAAACACACTTTTCTTGGGTGAGAAAGTGAAAACACAAGAACACATTTATTATAGTAAACACCTGTGTATTTACACAACCAAGCTCTTTCTGACTTCATCAACTGACTTAGCTACTCCAACAAACTCAAATTTTGGGAACATTTTTGGTATCTTGGTCAAGTGCTATGAGGATTTTAAAATCTAGGGCTATAATTTCAACTGATACTCCCCAACCCCTTGGGTTCATAATTCATAACACAATTGTGACTATTTAGAATCCAGATGACTCTTAAATTATTCAGAGCTATGCTTGATAAATGAGACTGAAAAGGGAATACAGAATTAGCTGAACTTAAATTCCTGAAGCTACCTGAATGCATCTTTAGACTTTATTTACAGTGTCCAGGACAGAAAGTTAGCTAACTACTCAAGCTCTGCTTAGACTTGTAGTCTTATCCTCTAACATTGCACTATGCTACTTTTTGTAGAGCTAACAGTAAAATACATCATCCCAAATCTTATGAAGGCAGCACATCCTTAAGAGTACCTATATATATAAAAAGTAGCAACATCAGTGGTTTCAATATAAAAATTTATTTTAAGTCAAAGTATGCAACAAATAAAACCTACAGAAAACAGATTTTCCCATCACAATCTGTTGCTTTAACCAAATATTTTGAAAACACATTCCTTCAGTCATTATAAAGTTCTTGAAATACAAAAGAAATTCAATCTGTAAGAAAGTCAGATGTTGTTAGGACTTGTACGTTGGAGGAAGTGGTCTCAGTACATCCCACGCCATCCACCTCCACTCATTCCACCTTGTCCATAGTAACCACCACCTCCACCACCACGACCTTAAGAAGACATTAAGAACATGAATCAGGAGAGGGCCATGCACATCATACTATTTGTATTTTTAGTGAAAGATATTGCCTCATACAGACTTACCATAACCTCCCAAGCCATCAGGAGTGCCATATCCTCCACTGTAGTTGTTCCCCATTCCCATTCTCCCAACAGATCCATATCCTCCTTGATTATCTGCACATTAAAAAGTGACAGGATGGTTTCCAAACTAGCCAACACTGCTTATTCTAAAAAGTTTATAAACCCCGGTTTGGGAGGGATATATTGAAGCACCAAGGCCAACGTGGGCTACAGAGCAAGATGTCCCCACCTCACCTCCAATACAAAACTATACATACCCATTCCATCTCTGCCATAGCCTCCCATTCCAGAGCCACCTCCAGGGGTGGAATTCAAGAAGAGTTCAATATATCGATGTTCTTTAAAAAAAAAAAAAAAAAAAGTGGAAAAAGGTAAGAATAATACAGAAAGATAAAATGTACTAATCAAAGTTGATTAGCTAGTATTTAACGAAGGCTTATCCATAAAATATAGGACTATTTCAGGCAGCCATTAAAATCTAGACATTATTAATAGGTCAAATGATCTAACAGACATTTTAACCAGTAATTACTGTATAAACTGTACACACCTATGAACAGAAGCAGGCCAAAGACACCACTTACGCATGTTGTTTTTATCTTTAGACATGGCAGCCACTGCATCTTCATGTGTCACAAACTCTACATCTGCCTCTCCTGTTGCTCTGCCATCGGCTCCAATGTCAATATGAACTCGTATTGGATTGAGTGGTGAGAAGAACTAAATAAAAGTTACTCATTTTTAAATTCCAGTCATTTAAAATTAGCACATGCTTTTAATCTTTCCACTAAAATAAACTACTGAGGGTCTATAAGGGCTCCAGTATTGTGGAGGTAGGTTGAGTCATCCTTTGCTACAGAGATGGTCCAGTCTGCTTGGCTCACATGGGGAAGGAGTGCATTTTTTAAAATGCAAAGCAGTTACTGCTTATAAAGTAAGGCAATACTAAACTAAATGAAAACTGTGAAACTGGGAATACAGTTCCATGACAGAGTATGGTTAGTTAAGAGTATCTTCAAGTTTGGGATTGTTGCAGACCCTACTACTAAAGGCAAACTCCTACATGATTGACTCTATTCTTAACAGAGTGGTTTTTTTGTTGTTTTGTTTTTTTTTAACCTGCTTAAAATCTCACATAATGGGCACAAACACCTATGTGTATATTAGGCAAATAATCTATCACTAAGTGACAATCTTAGCCTGAATCTTAACAAATAAAAGAGGTAAGGCATGGTGGCTGCCTTATGCCTAAAGTCAAGTTAGAATTTCTAGTCTCGTTTGGGCTACGGTGAGACCTCCCCGCCAATAATAATAATAATAAAAAAATACCCACTATATACCACTTACATTAGCAATATCATTTTCTGTTGCACGAAAAGGCAGCCCTCTCATGTGCACAAAATGACCACCATGGAAACCTGAACTTGCATCACCAGCTCCACCATAGCCATGTCCTCCCATGCCTAGATTATAAACCATTGTGGGTTCACATAAGTACATATAAATCAACAAGCCAGCGCAATGACACAAGTTTCCATTATCCCATCAAAGTTGCCTAGTTACTACCAGCACCTTATAAAGGAAACAGTAAAATTTACTTTGGCATGATATTCTTAGTTTACCTCTTCCATCTCTCATCCTGTCATCAAAGCCATCATTTCCATAGCCATAATTATTATAGCCACCATAGTCATCAAAACCTCCATAGCCTGTGCAAATGTAAGGAAAAAGCAATTTGTAAAAATCATTTTGTAGTGAATTATTTTAGCTTCTTCATTAATGTTTGCAACTTACTGCAAATGGGAAAAGGAAAAGCAGTTAACCCTTGATGGAAATGTAAACATCCACAGAATAAATTCAAACACAACATGAAAACCAAATGTCATCTTTATGCCCAGAAGAAACATGCCAGTTATCTTTATTTCTACATTATTTCTAGGTGTTAATATGTGCATCAATCAAGTTCCACAGTGGAAATCCCACAATTTCATGAACAGGTTTTAAAACCTCATAGGTACTGAAATTACTGCCATTTCTGTATTTCTTGACAAAATGTCAGGAACATCAAGAAAATGACAACAGAACCTTTTGTTCATTAGATACACATACCACCATCATATCCATCACCTCCTCGTCGCATTCTGTCATACATACTTCCACGCCCAGCTCCATAATAACCCCCTCTTCCTCCTATTGGTCTATCATATGGTCCCGGTCGCTGTCCCAGCAATCTTCTTGGTGGATCATAAAATCCTTTGATTTCACTCCTGCTACTCCTGAAGATCTCAATATACCTATTTAAAAAGGGTTAAAGTACAGGTTTCAGCATAGATGTATTAGAGAGTAAATTAGATACTGGGCAAAATGCAGTAAGTTTGTCTATATCTAGGTACATAACCCAATTTAAATTGCCTAAATAAACCATAAGTAACATTTTTACACCTACAAACTTAAATAATTAAATATTTAAGTTTTACATAGACAAATGAGTAATTTGAAAACACTGAATTATGAATATATTTTTAATTTGTTTCCTTTAGCACAAGATAGGTACATAAGAAAAACAGGTGATTATACAAAATTTAATGACATCCTACAAAGAAATGGAAACAATCTAAGTTTAATTTAAACTATTAGCATTAATTTCCCCACCCAAATCTGTAGTTTCCATGTTAAATTTAGGTAATTATCAATTCTTTAATACTACCCCAGAAAAATGTTATGGTTACCCCCCCATTTAAGCAATAGTGACCCACAACCCCCAAAAATAAAAATTTAACACCATCCCAAACTCTCCATCCCCACCTGTGCCCTATTCTTTCCTTGTGTTTCCCCAGAGCATTTTCTGCTATCTCCTTTGAAGCAAACTGCACGAAGGCCTCCCCTGTGCTTCTCCCCTGGTAGTCCATCGTCAATGTTATCCCATTTGGCACGATTTCCAACCCTTTAACCCAAGGACAAATACCCCATCAAGGGGAACAGTGTTAAAGGCTGAAACATTCCCATCTGAATCAAATATTTAAAACAAGTCTAAACATAACAAAACAAAACGCTTAGTTCCCCATCACCCCATAATACAAATGGAATATTTTTCAAATATCATTGGATTAAATATTTTCTGTGATCAGTGTCTTAAAAATTATAGTTCTAAAAGCCCACTACATGAAAAACTACATTATCATTTAACTGTGCTCCCAAGGCTAACTCATAACCCACGTCATCAGTTATTCTCAATTAACTATATTGTACAGCAATCATCGTTTACATAGCCTACACATTCTCTACTAAATATTAACTGGAGCACATTTTCCATTTTATAATATAACCCAGATTATCACAGAAGACCCCAAAAATGAGTTTTATAAATTAAAAAACATCTAATAAACACATACAATTAAAATATTACTAAACTTTGACTAGTACTAGAGGTACCTTGGAAGAACTGAACTATTTCCTCTTTGCTGCAACCAAATGGCAGTCCTCGAAGCCGCACTGTCCCATCACTAGCGTCATTTGGACCATTATGTTTCATAACCCAATCCATTTCAATACGCTTGACTTAAATGCTATGAAATAAACAAGCACATAAAGCAGTCAATCACAACACATTCTTACCATGACTTGAACACCTCTCACAAGTATCCCAGCACAGAATGCATGCAAGCCGACTCCTACAACAACCAGCAACACAGTACTAACACTCTACTTTGGGGTGGGGTAGGGAAAGGCAATGAAACTCACCCCACTCCTACCAAACATCCCTGAAGGTCTAATAAAAGCTTGCTGAATTCTATCATTTGGGTTGTAGAAAACCCTGCCTCGAAACCACAGGAAAACAAGTAAAAGGCACCTCAAAACCAAATGCTATATGGAATATGATAGTAAGTACATGCCCAAGATCTTTGTACTTGGGAGCTAAGGCAGAAGGATTGAGTTTGACGAGCTAGGACTACAAGGAAACTACTTCAACAAACATTCAGATGAGTACCTTTCAACAGTAACATTTGGGGAGGTGGGGGTGTTAAGACTTGGTGACCAAGAACCAGGCTGGTTTTGAATCACAAGACACCTGCCTGCCTCTCTCAGCCCCAGAGTGCTGGAAATAGTGTCACCACTGTACATACCTCCCCCCCTTTTTTTAGTCAATCAGATTTAAACACTTTACCCAAAGACAGCATATTAACACTCACATGGTATTTAAAGAGAACAGCATGAAGCCCCCTCTATCCTCCAAGGAACACACAAGCTAGCCAGTTCCATTCCCTAGAGGCAGCCACTTTCCTTCTAAAATTCCAGAATATTTTTAGAGACTAATGCAGAAGTTCTGAAGCTGTGGAAACTTACCAGCCCTTGCTTATTTCACTACACAGATGTGGGAATCCTACTCACCTGAATATTCCAATCTTTCCCTCACCACCTCCTCCCCTGTCAACAAAACAATTTTTTAAAATGATTCCTTTAGGCTTGAAGCTATATCAACACCATTCACTAATGGTTAATTCCATATCATCAGTTAGAGGTGGATCTACAGAGAGTTAATTCTAATTTTCTTAAAATCATATGGTAGCACACTATAACAATCCTAGCCCTGGGAGGTTGAGACAAGAGGTTCAAGAGTTCAAGGCCAGACTCTGCCCTTAAAAATAAAGCCCTGGCTGTGGTAGTGCACACCCTTTAATCCCAGCACTCAGGAGGCAGAGGCAGGGGGGATCTCTGTGAATTTGAGGCCAGCCTGGTCTACATAATACGTTCCAGGACAGTCAAGCTACACAGTGAGACCCTGTCTTGAATGAATGAATGAATGAATGAATAAATAAATAAATGTAAAGTTAGAGCTTGGAATAGTGGCAGAAATATGCATTCAACGTCAGCATAGTCTACAGAGTTCCAGGACAGCCAAGGCTATACAGAGGAAAAATGTCTCCAAAAAAACCGGGGTTGGGGGGGGGGGGGGGGGGGGGGAGTGGAGAGAAGGGAATAAATTTCTTCTAGAATTCATGCATCAACGAACCCAAGGATATAGCTCAATGACAGAATGTCTACCATGTGCCAACCCTTGGATTACATTCTAAACATCTTTCCCAAATAATACATGCATTAAAGTAAGCCAATCTTTAATTTCTCCTCTACATGTGTATATCATCAGCATGTGTTTTGTGTGTACTCGTGACTGAACCTTAAACCCTGCTGAAAGAAAATCCAGACCCATCTTTAAAAGCCCATGGAAAGTACCACTCTTGGTAGAACCAAAATGGTGAAAACACAACTTAAAAACTGGCATTATAACTAAGTCTTCGGTGCATTTGCTTTTAAAAAAGCACGAGACCCTACATGGTAGCACATGTCTTTAATTCCAGCATCTAGGAGACAGTGATTTCAAAGTCAGCCTAGTCCACATAGTGAGACTATCTCAAAACAAAACAAAAACAAACAAAAAAAAACCCAGCATGGGGTTGAATGGCTCACTAATTCAAGCACCTTTCAATGGCTTAAAACATTTAATTTCTGAGCCTGTTATTCACTATTACATACAACAGCAGTAGTTGCTGGGTGGGAGCAACATCTTTGATCCCAGCATTGGGAGGCAGAGGCAGGAACTCTTGAGTTCTAGGACAGCCTGGTCTATATAGAGTTCCAGGATAATCAAGGATAGAGAAACCCTGTCTCAAAAACAAAACAGCAGTAGGTCAGTGAGGTATTGGCACCCACTGCTGTATTTTACAAGAATACTTATATTCTATAGTTCTGCTTTCAGATGAACATTCACCTTTGACAATTTGACTTTATGGATCCTATAAAGCAGTGGCTCTCAACCTTCCTAATGCTTCGACCCTTTAATACAGTTCTCATGTTGTGGTGATCCCCAACCATAAAATTACTTTTGTTGCTACTTCATAACTGTCATTTTGCTACTGTTATGAATCGTAAATGTGTGTTTTCCAATGGTCTTAAGTCAACGCACAGGCTGAGAACCACTGTTGTAAAACCAATAAGATACTCAACAAAATCTCAACTGTATCTGAAAGCCATTCAGTCCTGAAAAGAAACAAGAAAATATTAAAGGTGTTTTGATGTCTAATACCATTCTAGAGTATCCCTGAAAGACAGCACCAAATCAATCTTGAAATAAATGCTCAGAATATTTTTGAAGATCACTATTTTCTCAAAAAACAAACAAAAAATAATACAGCTCAATGGTAGAATGCCTACTTAGCATGTATGAGGCTGTAGGCTCAGCTCACACCCCAGAGCCACAAACAAAACCACCTCCTTAGGGTAGTTATTCTATAAATCAACTCTTAGAGCATTTCTTTTGGAAACACTGGTCCCCACCCAAGGCAGGGGTCTTGCTCTACAACCTGGACAGGACTCTCAAATGGGAATACAGGTGCTATCACACCAGTTTCAGATAGTCCTTCCCCTCAATGTGATGACTATAATTCATCATAAAGAGCACTGGCTACTCTTACAGAGGACCTGGTTCTATTCCCGGGCCTGACACTTTTTGGGCTTTCTACAGGCACCGCACGTGCGCACACACACAGAACACTCATAAAAATAAATGGGGGAAAGACTAATATTTCAGCTGCAGATGCAAGGGAGCTCTTTTGTGTGTGCGTCAAATTTAACACACCAGTTTTGCTAGTATCAACAATAAAGTTCTTACGAAAATAAGAATTCTCTGAAAACCACTAAACTGTAAATAATGCTTTTAGTCTGTGCATATGCTTGTATATGGGAACACACTCATACCTCAGTGCAACGTGGAGGTCAGAGGAAAAGTTTTATCAGGTCTTGACATCAATTAACAAAATTTTACTGGGAAAAGCCAACCAGATTTGGACCACAAACCATCTCATAAAGTGACTTTCCATTCAAAGTCTGAAGTCAATACGGAAACAGCCTTGCTCTAACATACCTTTAAACTCAATTCTAGAATCCTACTAAAACACTAAGAGCAATTTGTTCTAACACCTTAAAAAAAAAGCTTTCAGAAACTACGAAACTGTTTACCATTTAGAATACTCCACTTCAACCTTTCTTTGGAATAGTGTCAAACTATTCACTACACCACTTTAGGGATTCCAACTGTGCTCAGGCCCCCAATTCTAGACCTTGAAACAGACCAACCTGAGTTACACCGTCCCCAAATCCAAGAGCATCACAGGTGCTCTAAAAACAAAAAGTTGTGATAGTCTGATAACTACCAATGTATTAAAAATCCGTAGAAATATCACTTTAAACAGAAGCTGATGGATGTTATGAACTGGGTATGGTGGCTCATAGCTGTCATCCCAGCAGTTGGGATCCTCGAATTTCAAAGGCCAGAATATTCTACAGAGACCCTATCTCAAAACAAAACAATCTTGTAGGAAGAGAGGCAGGAGACTCCAGGAGAGCCTCCTGTATATATCCAGTTGCTAATTTCAAGAGTCTGTCTGAAAAAAACAAAAAAGACGTTTATAATGTAATCCAATCAAGAAAATGTGGGCCTATCGGTTCTTTATATTAGAGTTTGAGTTCTTGGCATTTTCAAAGCTCATTAAGGATCTGTTTTTTCTAGTTGGCATGGGCTAACTTTCAGGCCCAGGGGGTTTGTTCTTTTTCCTTTCTAACCCATCTTCTATGAAAAACACCGGCACAGTTCCGATTTAAGGACTCAAGCACCTCCACAAGCACGCGATTAGGCTAGGCTTACTTAGTTTTTTTGTTTTTAAAACACCACAGTTCAATACTTGTTTTAAACATGCCTAGCTATCAAATGAAAACAAACGTTGACTTCTGGGCTTAATTACAAGTCGACACAAAAGACAACTCTTGGTGTATTAACTACAACAAAACCTTAACTTTTCACTATCCACCCCGGCCTACAAGCGCGGTCCCACGGTTCACCCGGATCCGACCCATTCCTAACATACCCACTGCATCCTATTCTCCTGGATAAGCCATTGCCTCATCTTACAAAATTATAGACTCCTGGTATAAACCTCTAAT